GCTGGGAAGGTGGCTCAGTGGTAGAGCACTTGCCTCGCATGCATGAGGCCCTGGGTTCGATTCCTCAGCACCACATAAGCAGAAAAAGCTGGAAGTGGCGCTGTGGCTCAAGTGGTGAAGCGCTCGCCTTGAGCTGAAAAGCAGAGAGACAGCGCCCAGGCCCAGAGTTCAGGCTACATGACCGACAAAAAAAAAAAAAAAACAGAAAGAAAGAAAACAGAAAGAAGGAAGGGAGGGAAGAAGAAAGGAAGGAAGAATGTAAGAGAAGGAGAAGGGAAGGGAAGAAGAGGAAGGGGGTAAGAAATAAAAAGAAAGAGAGAGGGAGGGAGGAAGGGAGGAAGGGAAGGAGAGAGGGAGGGAGGGATATGGGCTGGGAAGGTGGCTTAGTGGTAGAGTACTTGTCTTGCATGCATGAAGCCCTGGGTTCGATTCCTTGGTACCGCATACACAGAAAAAGCCGGATGTGGCTCCGTGGCCTAAGTGGTAGAGTGCTCGCCTTGAGCCAAAGAAGCTCAGGGACAGTGACCAGGCCCTGAGTTCAAGCCCCAGGACTGCCCAAACTAAAAAGGATGCCAATGATTTAATCAAGCTGAGTTGAATATGAAAGAATTACCTGGGGAAAGGACCTTGGAAAGCCAGGGCGCGGACGCTGTGTTCTCCACTCAGCCGACCTGTTGTCCTGTGTTCTGGCATGGCTGGCTTCGATGTATTGTCCCTCCAGCCGCCCACCCCATCAGCAGGCACCACTTCCTGTCCAGGGACCTCCTGTACATGCACATCACCAACCAACCCCCCCCCCAGGCCTGTGCAGCTACCGCCACAGTACCGCCTGCCCTTAGCTCACCCCGCTTTCCCTGACATCCCCACAGGTGCCCTCCCTACTTCTATCTTGATGGCCAATTCCTCGGACACAGCTGCAGGGCCAGGAGATTGGAATGAGTTTCAAACCGACGAGAGCCAACGCCAGCGGATAAACCTTCCTCCTCTCTCCCTCCTCGGGACCCCAGAGAAGGATCCAGCATCCGCTCTGACATTCATGGAAGACGTGAGTGGTCAGCCACGCCGATCACATCCAGGGGCCCCGCTGAACGCTCCCCTTCATCCTCTCTCCTTTCCTCTCTTTGCTCTTTGTCTTTCTTCCCGCTTTCCTAGGGTTGAACTCTCGGTAAAACACTGGCATTTACGTTTCCAGGCTGGCTTCTTTGAAAATACCTGTGGCAATGCAGGGCACCGGTGGCTCACGCCTGTCATCCTCGCTACTCAGGAGGCTGAGATCTGAGGATCCCGGTTCAAAGCCAGCCTGGACAGGAAAGTCCCTGAGACTCTTCTCTCCAGTGAACCACCAGAAAACCAGAAGTGGTGCTGTGACTCAAAGTGGTAGAGCGCTCGCCTTGAGCTGAAGAGCTGAGGGACAGCGCCCAGGCCCTGAGTTCAAGCCCCCACGACCTACTAAAATAAAATAATAGCATAATGACCCACAGCTAGATCTGGGAATGGATTCCATGGGCTGCCCCTTCCTGCCCTTCCCACGGTTTGGTGGTCTGTCTCTGGAGTTTCCTTCCCTCCCCAGCTGGTGTAGTTCTGCAACCCATCCTTCCCCTGACACCTGAGCAAGACTGGAAGGCTTCCCAGAGGAGGTGCCTGAGGCTGAACTTTGAAGGACAAGGTACAAATCAGCAAACTCAGTCCAGGAGGAGGCCTGTCCATCAAAGAGCCAGGACCACAGTAGGGAGCTACAGAGCCCCCACGGTTGATGGTAATTAGCCCGGGTGGCAGGATGAAAAGAGAGAAGGATTGGGGAGCCGTGGTTGGGGAGTGGGGGGGCCTAGAGTGTCAAGCTAAGGAACTGATTGTTCATCCCAGGCAACAAAGGTGGGTGAGCTGAAGCCTCACAGGATAAAGGTGGCTCTTTATCCGCACGATGGAGGGGAGAGGTCCCTGCGAGGCAGGTCAATGCCTTGCAGGCCCATTTGGGCAGGTGTTTGCCTGGTGGCTAATGGGCTGGATGAAGCAGGTGCCATAAGGCTTTGCCCCTGGCCCGCCCCCATTTCCCCTCCCCCCCTGGTTCTGGCCCAGCTAGCTGCCCCTCCCCCAACTAAGCTAATCAGCTTAGGATGGATGCAAGACTCCAGACCTGCAGACCCTCAACCTCACTCCCAATTAAAAAGAAAAGGACAGAGACCCAGCCAGGCCAGACCTGACATCCACCCACCCACACTCTCACTGAGTGCTGATGTAATTGAGGTGTGAGAGGAGGTGATCTTGGAAGCCCCCCCCCCCCCCCCCCCGCTTGTGCTGACCACCTTGGTCAATCTAGCCTGGGCTCCTGCTCAGTCTGTGGCCCAGAGATGGCGTCTAAGTACATCGGAAGGTGTGCAGCAGGATCCTTGAAAAAGGCAGAAAGGAGTTGTCAAACACACCCATTCCTGCCTGACACAGACAGGCTCACGCCTGTCAACCTAGCTACGCAGGAGGCTGAGATCTGAGGATGGAGGTTTGAAGTCAGCCGGGGCAAGAAGATCCATGGAAGATCATAAGATTCTTTTTTTTTTTTTTTAAAGTTGGTCGTGGGGCTTGAACTCTGGGCTCAGCTCTTCAGCTCAAGGCGAGCGCTCTACCACTTGAGCCACAGCGCCACTTCTGGTTTTCTGGGGAGCTCAATGCGAAGTAAGAGTCTCGTGGACTTTCCTGCCTGGGCTGGCTTCCATAAGAATCTTATCTCCAACAAAGTCAGAAAGGGAGCCATGGTTCAAGTGGTAGAGCACTAACTAGCCTTGAGTGAAAAAGCTCAGGGACAACATCCAGGCCCTGAGTTCAAGTCCCATGACTGGCACAACCAAATCAAATTAAAAACAAGCAAACACACACACACACACACACACACAAAATCCCCACCCATTCCTGAGCCTTATACCATCCAACAGGGCTGATTCCAGCCTTCTGAGATGAGCCCAGGAGAGGAAACTTTGCCCTTGACACAAGGCGAGATTGGTTCATATGCCCAACTATATGGAGAATGACTACTAGGGAGGCTGGGAAAGCAATGGAATGAAATGGACTCTCAGAGGTGGAAATCCAAAGAGGGTCAACACAGAGTCAGGGCCTGGGCGCTGTCCCTCAGCTCTTTTACTCAAGGCTAGTGCTCTACCACTTGAGCCACAGCTCAACTTCTGGTGTGTGTGTGTATATGTGTGTGTGTGTGTGTTGGGGGGAGTTAATTAGAGATAGGGGTTCGCAGAATCGCAAATCTTCCATTGTGGTTCCAGGAATGGCTTGAACTGTGGTCCTCAGATCTCAGCCTCCTGAGGAGTTAGGATGACAGGCGTGAGCCACCAGCTCTGGACTTCTGTCATCTTTTGCTTTGGAGGGGTGTGTGTGTGTGTGTGTGTGTGTGTGTGTGTGTGTGTGTGTGTGTATCGCCTGCCAATGTTCTCCAAATTGCTGCTTCAGCCCAGAGGAAAGATGTCCAGTGATACCGCTTGGCCCCAGCTGTTCCTCCAAGCCATTGGCCTGAACACATCCTGGCCCCCAGAAGCCGGAAGCCGGAAGTCATCCACCACACGTAGCAACATGATGACCTGGCCGCTGCTGGAAGGGAGGAGTCACAGGCCCATTCCTAGACTCCCCCTCCCCCCCCGGAGTCCATGTTGGGAAAGGAACCCCAAAAAGAGACCACCGTTGGGATGTGTGCTGCTAGCAAGCAGAGAATCCCCTCACTCAGCCCTCAGAGATTTGGGGACAAATCAAGGGGACAGCAGCCACCCCCCACCCCCTCCCTGAGCTCACTGATGGGGTGGGAGGAAGCTGGGCATGAGAGGTGGTGGTCTCGGGGGGGGGAGTGGGGTGCAATAGAAGGGGTTGGGGTACACCCCAGGCCTGGCCAGCATCCCTGCCCTCTCTTGCCTTGGAGGTCCCTTTGAGCTGGAGAGAGAGGGCATGCAAAGGTCAGAGAGCCCTGAGCCCTGGCCTCAGCTTCGTTTGAAATCCTGGGCCAGGGGTGAGGGCTGCCACCCCCCCCAGGGTCCTCAGGCCTGGGCTAGGCCCCCCCAGATTTCCCCCTGTTGCTAGGGGCCCCCCCTTCTTTCCAGGCATCAGGTTCTGGGGCCGCGTGGAGCAGCCCATCTGCTGTCTTCCTTCTCGCTTTCCCCCCCTAAGGCTGGCTGTGACCTGGTTCCAGGGTCCCTGGTCTGGGTGTAAAAGTGTCAGGAGGCCTTTATTTCCACCGAGACCCTCTCAGCAGCTTGCTAGGCAAACTGCTCTTGGATTACATTTTGATGAGTTTTCAATTTAGGCTCTGCAGACTGAGGGGAGGGAAGGGGAGGGGGGGAAGGAGGGTGCGGGTGGGTAGGGGCGGGCAAGGGGGAGAGGGGGGCGAATAAATGCAACAGATGGGTCCAATTGTACTGCCCAGGCAAATGAAGGAAGACATCTGTAGCTCTCCCGCATACTGGTGGTCTGAAATGCAATTAGCCCCTCTGTGAGAGAGGCCCTTGGCCAATCCCCTCCGAGGTACTGCTCACGTTACAATGGCCTTGACCACAATCCATTGAGCAGAAAAAAGAAAAAGGAAAAAAAAAAAAGAAAGAAAAAGGAACAAGAAAAGAAAAGAAAGATTAATCCAGAAGGTGCTGGGCAGTCTACAAGGAGAGGTACCATGTTGGAAAGTTCTTTCTATTTCTATTTTTTCTTTCTTTCTTTTTTTTTAATCTTCATTTCCCTTCTGTATTTATCTACTGTGGAGAGAGAGAGAGAGAGAAATGTCTTCTTTTGTCTTATTTTATTTTATTTTTGGGGGGTCTCTTGGCGAGATGACGGGATCCCACATCTCCAGTGGTTTTTGTTTTTTGTATCTGTAAATTGCTTAGAAACCCCAGTTTTTGTTGCTTTTGGGGATTTGTTTGGGGGAAAAAAAACCAATAATGAATGAAGACACAAGTCCCTGTGGCTGAGTTTGGACCCCACCACTTCACACCCCTGAGGGAGAGAACGCTATTAAGGGGAAAGGACCCTCTGAGAGTAATAATTACCCTAGTTGTCATAAGTTCCACTCACTTATCTTTTTGGTCTTCTTTGTTTTTTGGGGGGTGGGGGTGCTTGTCCTGGAGCTTGAACTCAGGGCCTGGGCACTGTCCCTGAACTTTTGTGATCAAAACTAGTGCTCTACCACTTGAGCCACAGCACCATTTCCGGCTTTTTGTTAGTTCATCGGAGATAAGAATCATCCATGGATTTTTCTGTAGAGGCTGGCTTTGAACCTCGGTCCTCAGATCTCAGCCTCCTGAGTAGCTGGGATTATGCCAACAGTGTCTAGCTCATTTTCGCCACTAAGCAGCAAAAAGTACTTCACCTGGCCACCAACCATTGCCACCTTCCATTTTAGGACATTATTTTTTTTTTTAATCTCCCCCAAACAGAATTCTGCCATTATGACATCCACCATTACTTCAGCCCCTGGAAAGACACCATGTTTTACTCCAACTTTTTGTTGTTGTTGTTGGTCATGGGGTTTGAACCCTGGACCTGGGCACTGTCCCTCAGCTCTTCAGTTCAAGGCGAGCACTCTACCACTTGAGCCACAGTGCCACTTCCAGCTTTTTCTGCTTTTGTGGTGCTGAGGAATCAAACCCAGGGCCTCATGCATGCGAGGCAAGCGCTCTACCACTGAGCCACCTTCCCAGCCCCTTTACTCCAACTTTTAACCAATTGGCTTAAAGATTCGTCAGGGATTGTTTTGTGCTAGGAACAGGGCTTGAACTTAGGGCCTGGGAACTGTCCCTTAGTTCTTTATTTTCTCAAAGCTGGTGCTCTACCATTTGAACCACACATCTCCACTTCCAGATTTGTTTTGGTTAGTTATTTAGAGATAAGAATCTCCTGGGCTTTCCTGTCAGCTGGCTTCAAACCTGGATCTTCAGTTCTCAGCTTCCCCGGTAGCCTAGGATTACAGGCATGAGCCCCTGGCACCGGCTAGACCCTACACTTTAGGGCTTTGGAGAAACACTTGGAGATGCAGTCTTTATTTGGAACTTCAACTACCTTGAAGAT